AAAGAAAACACACACACACAAAAAGGACAAAAACATTCTTTCTTGACAAGTTTTATTCCTTTATTGTTGCTTATTTTTCTGACATGTGGTGAGGTTAGATGAGGGAAGCCCTGCTGTTGGACCACTCCCTCCTTCCACCCCCCCATTTCAATTCCTCTCTCTCAGGTCAGCTCTGGTGGGGAATTTTAGAACTGAATTCTGCAAAGCCAAAATGAAAGAAGTTTAAAATGCTTGCCAAGCAAACTGACAGTTGCTTTTTCTATTTCAGGAAACCATCCTATAATTGTGTCCACCTGTTGTAGCAATGCTATTTTTAAAGTCACACCCAAGAGCAGCGTTACACGGCCCTACAGCAAAACCTCTCATCAATCACACTTTGCTCCCTCAGCCCCAGCCTGCAGAGGTGCAGAAATCTGCCACAGGAATCACACAGGACCAAGGATTTCTCTGACTTGGTTCTACATATTAACCCCAAAGGGATGCACCGTTTTTGCCCTTCCTTACACCCCTAGAGCAGCTTCCCTTTCATCTTTTTCTCTCTCCTTTTCTTCAGGATGCCTGGCACTGCCAACATTATCCTTCAACAGGCCTGGTGCCACGGGAGCCGTGCCAGCAGCTGCTCCTGGGCCATCACAGCTCTTCCACCTGACTGGAAACAGCACAGAGGCTCTCACGCTGTTTCCTCCCTTTGCCCAGGTGCCTGGGGTGTGGGAGCCACTGAGTAAGCCCCCAAAATGCCCAGCTAGGCAAGCTCGTGGTCCCAAAGAGACTTGCCGCTTACTCCCAGATTTTCTCTGCTGGCTCTAAACTTGACCACAACAGACTCGCAGCACCTGAAAACTGACAGTCCCAGGAGCTATGTTTGAACCATGCTGCTTGCCAAAAGAGGCATCAGTGATCCAACAGATGACTTCTGGAGTTCAGTGGGAGTATACCATGGTGGGTTTTTAAAGACCCTCCTCTGAATTTTCCCCATATAGATGCCATTTGGGAATATTATTTTTATATGCCATGATCCTAAGGGGATGAGATGGGGATGACTAACTGACCCATTTCATTTTTCAGTAAAGTACCTAGAGAGTGAGTGCTCAGAAGCATGACCAGACCAACACACACAATCAAACACCTATGTGATTTCAAATGGTATTAGAAAGCTCCATTAAGCATGCCTTACTGCTCTTTCACTGAGGACCAGAGCTGCAGTGCTGTACAGGAGAATATCAAAGGATCACATCAGTCTAAACCTGCCTCATCCAGGAGTTCCAACATTTCAAGTATCTTTCTGCACCCCCGGGGCCTGCAGTAGGCGTGCTGCCTTACAGAGAAACACTTACAAGCAAACAGCAGAGGAGATCAAAGGTAAATATGAAAATAATCAGGTTAAAGTCATAGGCAGGGAGTCCACACCAAGAGCAAAAACAGCATGACACACCCACCACTCTCCTGAGAGCCTGGGGACCTGGTCTGCTCTTGTGGCAAAAAGCAGCTGTACACATAGGTAAAATGTTTCTGGCCAAAAAACAAGCTCACTGAAGCAGACACACACTCTGAATTCATGGTTATAATGGAGGGGAACATCACAATCTTTAGGCAGAATTGAAAATTCAACCGTTATTTGTCTGTATCATGAAAAAGCAACCACTGCTTGCCCCCTGGTTTGGGTGGAACAATGGCATCATCAGCTTCATAATGCCCCTCAATGTAGAGCAGTCTGCAGCCAGCTCTCTGAAGAAAGAAGCTTAACCGAGGAAAGTTATCCAGTCTTTTTTTATCTACAGTTTACTGCAAAAGAAAAAAAATGGACCATTGTAGTTGTATTCTGCCTCCAAGTGTCTTCACTAATGGGCTGGTCCCTCCAGTCAGAATATGTCGGAGGACAAATTATCTGCTTCTGGACTGACCAGTTTTAGTACCCCCAGCACTGCAAGCTTCAAGCAGACCGGGGCATCTGTAAGCACCTCCACAAATGAGTATCGAAAAGTTAACCACTGCATTTCCCAAGGCAGGTTGAAGCTCATCCAGATCAATGAAGAACAAGTTTCTCCCAGGCCTGACCCCGAGAAGGTATCGGCAGCCTCTGGACACTCTCAGGAGACAACATGTGGGGTGGGGGTAACCATTTAGAGAAACACTCTGTACCTTCAACCATTTCCACACATTAAAACATGAAAGAGAAGTTAATTCCTCTTTTGACTCCTTTGTAACATATTATAAATTCAAAAACTAGCAGGCTGATGGACAGGGACGCTTAGTAGAGGCAAACACAATTCTGCATCACATGGAACAGCAGGGAGCTGGTGTTCCCTGTTTAAGAAAATTAAATATTCAGTTTCTTCATCCTCCTTCCTTCCTTTTAGCTAAGGCAAAAAACTGAACCCCTATAGCCACATTAGAGGTGTGATTTATTATTATTATTTTTAATAGCAGTGTCAATTTAAGCACCTCTTCATCCTCCCTGTTCCCTATGCCATTCCTTTTGTTTTGCGGTTAGAACAAACAGGATCCAGGCTTAAAAAGAGAAATTTCCCCCCCCCTGAATTCTGGATGGCATCTTTCATCTGATCCCACTTACATAACTGAGGACAGAGGCAAGAGCAGAGGGTGTGTCTCCACAGAAACCTGAGGATAAAAGAAGAAAAGGAAGTGTCTCAGGAAGGACTTCCAAATGTCAGTTCACAGATTCTCCTGTAAAATCTGAGAGGCCTTTTCAGGGAGATGAGAAACATCATGTCTGTTTTTTCCTCACAGCTTCTATGTATGCTGTACACCTAATTGTTTCTCAAGTCTTGATCATAATTAAGGATAATCCCAACAGGTATCTCTAAACCCAAAAATAAAACTGAGGAGAAAAGGCAGATTCAGCCAAGCAAGCACACCACTTCAGCTAAGCATGCCAGTTTTTAAAAGGCATCAAATTCAGACCTTGCCCTCCTTAATTAAAAGCTCTGCTTTGCCTTGCCAAGGGACAAATCTAACAAGCCATTAACTACCCTGCTCCAGAAATAATTCTTCACACAAGGGGTGTAGGAAACAGCAGTGAGCTACTGTAATACACGAGGAGCTATTTCTTCCTGGCACTCCAGGACGAGGTTGCTTTCCTAATCCCAGCAAAAAGAGTTTCTAGTTTCCCCTCTTATTTCCCTCCACCTCCACTCCTTCCCAGATGTCCTCCTCAGGGCTCTGTTGGTACAGGTGTTCTCACAGGCAGGAGACACGCCCCTGTGCTGCTCTGATCAGCCTGAAAGATAACACAGCAGGGGAGGGAAAAAGTGACTGTGATCCAGTTCAGCACAAGGCCATGCAAACTGCTGCGCTGGCACAACACAGCGAGCAGGAGTGCTCCACAAATCCCACCACAGACTGGGTATCCATCTCCTGAGGGGCAGCTCACAGATTCCAGGCTGATTGTTCAGGTGGGTGTCACAGGAAGTCATGCTTCCTCACCTCCACCTAGTGCCCCCATCTGACTCCACAGAGCTAACTTGGCACTGAGCTTGCCAAGTTAGCCGTGCCAAAGAGTACTTTTCTGTCTGATTAGTTTCTTTATCAAGGCTCCGCAGGATCAGACAGGTAGCCATGCCTGTGCAGAGCCTCCTGATCAAGTTAGCCATGAGTATGGTCCCATCATGTCACATCCACGTGCCTGCCAGGTGCCACATTCTCTGCGTGTGGGGACAGCAGCGCAGCCAGTGCTCAGGGACACTGGGAGATTCCCTGTTTGAGACTGCTGATAGTTTTCTCCCTTCTCTCACTATTTACAACCAGCTTCTATCTAGCCTGGCCAACAGAAAAATCTCATTTGGATTCAAGTGTAGCTTTGTAGCTAGCAGACACACCACAGAGTGCCAATTTTCATGTTTTCCAAGCTTATCTTCTCAAGTTAAACAGTGAGGATGAAATAAGGTATCAAGGCAGAAAATCCATGCATGCTTCTGGCACTGTGAAAACTGAGACTGATTTCCCAACAAAGACCATTACCTGAGTTTATGTAGTTGAGGATTTACCACTAATCCGTTCCTCAAAACTCACACAACACAGAAACAAATCACATGACAATCAGCAGAAGAGTAAAAGTATAGATGCCATCCTATGTATGGAGCATACACATCAGCTCACCAGTAACTAGTTCTGCACACAACAGTTAAATACAGACCATGCTGTCAATCAGACACACAATTTCAGGATGTACCTTGCACACAAAATATGTATAGCACACAATCTGAGCTTCCAATTTCGCTTTGTGAAGAGAAAGTACATTTTTAACCCTTCTGCGATGATAGCCTTGGAAACATAAAACCTTGGTATCTGCTCGAGTCCATAGACTGTTGTAAATGGTGACTCATGCATGAAGTAATCTCAAAGCACAAGCAATAATGGTGTTTTAATGTCCTGGCAAAAATGAGGAAAAAACGGTTAGCAGAATTTGGGAGTGACTGTCAGGAAACGAAGATAAAGACCATGCTTGGAGAACAGCAAGAACAAGGAAAGGGACAGGAAAAAAGAAGTCAAACATTATGAAGCATAGCTCTCCAAGCCAAATGGGAGTTCAGCTACCACCTGTTTCCAAAAGCCATGTTTTCCCACTCATCTCCATGCAATATCTCTCATAACAATGGCAGATCTGTGGCTGACTAAATACAAAACCATCCTACATTACATACCCAGCCAGAGATCTCAGTAAAACCACAGTGGGCTTCATGTTTCATGTAAATCCACTGATCTGCACGGTTCGGTAAATAACAAATTAATTGAGGGATAGTGGGCACCATATATTAAGACTATACATCTGCATAGTGATAAAACATTTACACAGGTGAGGCATTCGTCACTTGAAAGGGAGAACTGTTAATTAACACTTCCATCCAGATAAAGTGCAGAGGACGAATCTGACATGGGCAAACAGCCACTTTTGCTTATTTGAGCTGATGAGTCACATGATTAATTGCCACACTTCACATTGTTCACTTAAGGTGTAAATGCACAAACAAGGAAGAACCTACCAGGACTCTCTACCCGCTTGTAGTGGTAGGGATTGATGCAAACCTCCTTCTGTTTTGAGCCAAAGGGAAACTCGCAGCATTCCAGTGGTTTCAGTTCGTGGTGGCTCTGCAAGTCTGGCCAGCGCCACACTCTGCAGTAAATGACATGCGGGAGCCCCTTCCGGTGGGAAACCTGGAGCCTGCCATCCAAGGAACGAGGAATTGTCACACAGTTGCTGGGCTGACCGGGACAGCTTAATGCTTTTTCCAGCTCCTCCATAGCACCTTTTTTCTTCTTCAGTTTTTTTACTAATGCATCAACAGCCTTCTCTGCCCATTTTTCTTCTTCATCCCCTTGCTTCCATCCCAACAGCCTCTTCACTGCTGGGCTGGTGAAGGAAAATAAACTTGTCACATTCATGGTGACCCTACTGTGTTGATACCACAGAACCAAGCAGGAGAGACCGTCCTGTTCTTCCACCACCACCAGGGTACAGCAGACTGTGTCAGTAGTCAAAAGCAGCCTATATCAAATAATTCCGGTCCTTTCTCCTTTTCAGTCCTCCAGTCCCAGGAAGGCAGTGCTGACATCCCCCCTTGATGGACGTGACCTTCTCATTCTTCTAAATTCCTCTGGTCAACAACCTGCAAGAGAATATCAGAAGGAGATAAAAAAAGGATTTTGCCTTTTAAGTTATCATACAGCAGTTAAAAACATCCCCCGACCCTACACACTTTTTTGAGTGGTATGACCAAAAACCAACCAACATCAAAACAAAGAGCAATAAAGTGTTGACAGCCTCCAGAACTGGCCTTGAGGCACATCTGATGAAGATTTCAGCAGCAGGGTCTGCTGCTGAACCCTGTATATTCCTCTCTCCCAAACAGCCCTGAATAAATGATGTGATGACCCTGGAAAATAATGACGCATTATAAACAAAACCAAGAGAAGCTCAGGGGGAAGTTTAGTAAGAGGAGAGGGTAAGGGGTGAAGGTACATGGTGAGACAAATCTCCATCAGTTCAGCTTCCTCATCCAGTTTGCTCTGTGGCCTCAGTGATTTTTGTGCTACATAGCAAGGGGGACAGCAAGTGTGTTTGCCAGCTCCAAACAATACTTCTGCTTGGTGCCCAAGCAGGGCATCAGCTAGCACCATGAGAAGCTCCATAGAAAAAGCCAGAACACAAGAAGACATGACTGTATTCCCACACACACTCCATAAAAGGGCAAGAATCCTATATGAGAAATGTAGCCCACATTAAATTTAGCCTAAAACAGTCCCTCGATGTCATTTTTCACTGTTAAGCATGCTTAAGAATGCTCCCCTTTGCCTGTCAGCTGTTGCATCCTTACGCAGCGAAACATCCCAAGAAACCCGTGCAAGACCACTAGTGCTTTTTTTATTATTTATTTCAGAGAGCAGCTGGAGGCAATATACCCCAAGATGCACTAGACTTGAGCATAGCAGGATCTGAAACAAAAACAGTTCAGTTTCACCCCTGACTTACTTTGGGGAACAAAGCAAAAAAAAAAAAAAAAAAAAAGAAAGAATGAAACTAGAAAGATCCTTGCCCTCATCTCACATGAGAAAAAACCCTGCATCTCCCCACCCCACCAAATAGCCCTCACAGCTCACAAGCAGACTGTGAGGGAATGCTATCATGAACTTCACCAATTACATCCTGATCCTTCCTGTTGCAATGTCTGCCTGATGTTCTCAAGGACACGCGAAGGAGTGGGAAGGACGAGAAGTCCTGATAAGAGGAATTTAGACAGCACAGTGGTCCTTGAGCTGGGAGATGTGGAATGGGACTGAAGCGATGGGTGAAGAGGGGGAGGAATTCCACACAGGAAGAAGTCCCTGCTGTGAGCAGCAAGTTTTGTACTTACTCATGCTGGAAGCAGGCAAAAGGCTCTGCCAGGACAAGCAGAAGAGACCCAGCAGTGGCAGGGAGGGGAAAATGAGACAAAGAGCACGACAGCACTCATTTTCAAATAGATAGACAAGACAGGAAATATATCCTGGACTGGATACTCACAGGTTGTAGAGGTAGGGGGAAGAGAAAAAGGATATGAATGTTTTTGTTGCCATCAGAATGACATAAAAAACCTCAGCCAACCAGCAACCTACACACACAGAGAACAGAAGGTGTCAGCACACCCACCTCAGACAGAATTTCTTAGTTATACTAAGAAATTATTGCAGAACTTAAAATTGCAAATGCTATGGCACACTTACTCTCTTGACTGTCATCCATTGTAATGGTTTCATAGTATAACACTATATTTGAAGTACTTTAAGCTGAAAACCATCCACTCAGTTCAAATTAATTTGTCACTAAAACAGTTACCTAATTGCAGAGGTTCAGTTTTATTCGGCTTAATGCATAAACTACGTTTATGTGAATAATGATTATGGACTAAGACACAGGCCACGTCTACCTGTACTTCATACTGCTACTTCCCATTTTTTAAGCTAAGAATTGCACTTGAAATAATGCAATGCAATGGAAGATTTTGCATGAGCGTGCAGCAAATTTAAGAATTCGTTTTGTTACCTGAGCATGAGCCACACAGTTAAATAAGCTGAAATTCCATTACTGTCATTGACTGTACTCCAGGTATACTTTATCCTTACATGCACTATTAAAGCACTTAAGTGATCTATTAAAGTGCAGTGCTAATTTAAGAACTGAATTACCAGAACCCCAGTGCATGTGCTTTAAATATGGTTATTAAGCAACTGAGTTATTCTTAACTCATATATAATCTATATATCAATCAATATTCTAAACATAATTTTTCATTATTTTTCAAACAAAAGATACAAGTTCCACACATAAAAGTTACAAGTTCCAGTAGTATATCACCAAGTAAAGCTTTCTACTTCACATCCATTCAAATGAAAATCTTAAAAAAAGATTCAAAAGGCTTGAGTTGAAGCTCTAATAAAGAAGAAAGTATAATGTTTACATTTTGACCCAAACCTATTTCAACATTGATAACGTTTGCAGATGTGGTTCTACCTAGGCCTGACCCATTTTCACCAAGCTACTTGCTGTGAAAAAGTCCCATCTATTAAGACTGTATGTTTATATTAGTGCCTGAAAACACAACCCTAACACGAGCTCTGCAAAGACTAAGACGGCATTTAGATGCAGCCCCAAGAAGTCAGATGAAAGGAACAGATTTTCCGAAGTCTTTGGATCAAATCCTGCAACACAACACACATCCCACTCCCACGATCAGGCTCTCCAAAACACATTTCACCATCACAGGTACTATCTTAACAGCTGGCATCTCTGTGGCCACAACTGCTGGGAGAGCACAAGGAGTAGCATTAGCTCGTAGGTATGCTTGGAAGCAAAGCAGCTCAGCAGGACCCAGCTGGCCACCAGCCTCCAGCCCAGTGACTCCTGCTGAATTCCTGCTGCCCCAACAAAGCCTGAGCAACATTCCAAGCCCTGAACAAGCCACAGGATAAAGAAAGGGGGAGAAAACTTCTAGGCTGCTGTACACTAGTCACACTAATCTCCAATACCAGTAGCAAGCTAAAAAAGAAGAAAAAAAAATAGAGAAAGCAATGTATGTGGAGATTTTCGTTTCCAAGAAGCAGAGAGCCTGTCCATAGGGCTGAGCCCTTGCCAGTACATTCCGTTTCCCTTTCTACCACACTTGGTTTCTGCACTGCATCATTTCCTGTATTACTTCTGCACAAAGTGGTCTTATCAGTTGGAAGTGTAAAATAAAGATTAAACCAGGAGTCAGCAGATGACACAGTCTGCATCCTTCTTCCCCAAATACATGTGACCTTCTGCAAAAGCAGGAGTTAGTATTTCCAGTTGCTGAGTGACCATCAGCCCTTGAAAGATATGCTTATTCACAAGGTAGGGACAAAACAGAAACTTAAGCCAAATGACAGGATGCTCTCCAAAAGGCAGCCTGGAATCAGTTTAGAGGAAATTGAGTTGTTACCCACTTATCGGCCACACTTTACACATCAAAACCCATGTACTTTTTATTATGTGTTCTGTCTGCTGATGGATGAGTTGGAATCAACAAATTTCTTTTAAATCCCAATGTTGCTTTATTTGTCTTCCTTCACTGCTGTGCAATATTTAAAGATTTGTGTAATCTTTGCACTGACATACAAACCTGCACAAAGCTTGTGAGAAGCCTATAAAAAAATAAATGAGCATTTTAGATACATATATATGTTTAGCCAGCTTTGTATTTAAACAAACACATTTAGGCAAAATGCTTAAGACTGAAGTTCTATTTTTCTAGCCCTCAAAACTCTGTCAGCAACATTTAAGCAGACAGTAAAATATTCAATGAGACTGTTTTCGAATTCCCACAGAAGATCCCATAGGAAACTGTCCCACTTTGCATAAATGACTGTTTTTAGTGGGTGGAGAAAAGGTTAGGACAATTATGATTCTCTCCCAGAGGGGTGGAGGGGGAGCAAAACAACTTCTAGACCAAGTTTCAGGCAAACAAGTGGCTCTAACTCTTCTACTAATTTCATTATTTGTATTACAGGCTCAGTGATGCAGGCAAAAAGGATCCTATTAAATATTTTTAATATATGCTTAATACAGTTAGATATAAAAAGGGGCAGGAACCACAATGAAGAGAATCTACTTAATTGTTAATAGAGAAAACTGTCTAGTCTGTGACTACATTTTTAAAATTCAATTTATCTTATTTTAGTCAACATACCTCCTCCCAGTGTCCATTATTTAGTAACAATATAAAGAAATAAAAAGCAGAGAGATTTTAATTTGCTTTTTAAAAAATATTCAGTAATTTACCTGCTCTGAAAGACACATATTTGCAGCAACTCATGTATTCAGTATAATATTTAGACCTTTACAAAAAGCATGCAGTCTAAGCAGTTGTAATGCTAGAATGTGTAACAACATATTGTGCACTCACTTCCTCTATCTTCCTATTCTTGGAGCAAGCAGCAAAAAGTTTCGATTTCTTTCTTCAAGTAATGTAACTTGTAAAACAAAGACTTCTGCGGAATTACTCTGTTTTTAATCAACAAGTTCTTTCTTTGCACCTCTTTATGGCAGAAGATCAGATCTTGCTCAGCTTGGAAAAATGCACTGAAACCTGGTAGAAACCTCAGTGGCATTACAATACACATTCAAAAAGAAAATAAGTTTCATTTCAGAGTGCTGTAGAACTCATTAGAGAGTTTATAAAGAACCTGAATTGGCTTTCCTCATAGTTCTGAAAAGCATAAGGAGAAAAAAAAAAATTAACTTTCATATGCCTTCTTGGCATGGTGGAAAGAATTCCAGGAGAAAATGCAATCCTGTGTTAATTTCTCTTATATAACATATTATTTGAGGAAAGAGGAGCATACTGGGTCTTGAAAATACTTCATTATTACCTAACAGAGTAGGCAGTTTTTTTCCTGATGCCGCATTAGACTCCCTTACTCAGGCCCAGCAAGAGCAGGCAGGATACCTCCCGCCTGTTCCACGAAGTAACCTATGTCTTGGATACCGAGACACGGCCCAAAACACTCGGTCTGTCCAGCCTCCTCTTGGGCCATCCCTTATGCTATTTGCCTGAGGGATTGCCCTTCCAAGAAAACCTCATTGTACGGCCCACAGAGAAAATCCTGTCAG